CTCTGGATACTCTAATTTCTCCCTGGACTAACCAGGCTGTCCCTAGAGGGAATCATACTGGGCCCCAGTAGATTTGTTCTTTCTGATCAGATGATGTAACTGGCCTATAATGAGAGATATGACATGAAACTGGCCACAAAGGAGAAAAATGTGAATAAAACTCCAAAAAAGAAAAAGAAAAAAAAGACCAGGCTCTCTATTGGATAGAGACACGTGGAATCCCCAAGACTATGGCTCCACCCTGCAGGCCTGGAACTGAAATACCCCCATGGCTCAACTCCCGGCCAAAGAACAGACATGTCTATAAGGTAAACAATAACATCAGGAAGGCACACTTAGAACAATCAACCTTTTGAGAACAAAAGGGCAGCATTTGCCCGAGGACAAAATTCAGAAGGCAGGAAGGGATAGAAAAGAAAGATGACCAGAAGCAGTAAACACAGGGAGGAAATGGGATGAGTGCTGTTACATTGTGGGGATTGCAGTCAATGGCATGAAACAAAATGTGTATGTTGAATGGAAAACTGATATGCTCTACAAACCTTCACACAAATCACAATAAAAAGTTAAAAGGAAAGAAAAAGAAACTGCCACTGTAACCTGTTACTGTGTTTACAATGTAGTCATGTTACATCGGCCCTGCAGGAAACTTTTAAGTTATAATTGGCCATGTTCTATATTTTGCATTGGCTGACAACAAGCTCAGAATCAAATCTGTGGCCCAGTTCTTGTGTTTAAAGTTTCTGGCACGCATTTTGAGTATTGACCTCACCTCTGGCTATAGCATGCCTTATTTTTCCTGTTTCTTCTTCTTCTTTTTTTAATCCTTCTTTCTTATTTTGTTTTCCTGTGTTGAATAAATCATGTCAAATCACTTTTAAACCCTTCTGAAATAAGACGAAGAAGGCGGTATCATAGGTACTGAAACAAGGCGGGCTTGTGCTTACTCACTGATCTGCACTGAACACGTTCCCTTGTTACCCTACCGAGAGGGACCAGGTCTTCG